CTCTGCCCAGGGCAGGCCTTGTCCCCTCCCTTGTCACACACATCAGTGTCTCCCCATCACATCTTGCTCCAACAAGCATCATTCCCTTGCCAGGGCCCAAGGCCATGGTGGAGTTTCAGCCCCCTCCTGGTGACAGGAGCAGCCCTTTGGATAATTGCAGCTTTGTGAGTTCAAAGCTCTGGAACTGCGTGGGACTGTTTGACTCCTGGGAGCTGAGCACAGAGCCAAGCCCAGCTGCTCCCCCAGCCCCTGGGCCAGGCTGCCTGGCGGCTCTCACCTGGCCCCAGGTTGTCTTTGTTGCTGTTGTTTCTTTTTGTCAATGCAAGGAAGGACAAAGACTCTGAGTACCTAACATGTCTTTAAAGCAATTTTTGCTTAGTACCATTCTTTCCATATCCAGGACCTCACTGGAATAACCTATTAGCATTTTATTTAAGGGCTAAATTTTTCAAGCACAGGGAGATAATGGTCATCAACAGACTGACCCTGTGTGGGCTTCACATTTACATCCGTGCTTGTGAGTGTGCAAATGAGTGTGTATGCACCAGGGCTGGCCTGATGCACAAGGACACATTTGCACACCTTTTTTCTTCAAGTGCCTGTCTCAAACAGATCTGCTTTCCAATGCCTCAGATGATTTTCTCTATCAGGGAAATGATTCCAGCTTGGTTTTTGTTATACTGGATTTTTTTTTTTTTTTGCAATTTATAATCTGGATTAGACCTCCTTTTTCTGTTATTCCCACCCTGCTGCCCAGCCCAGAGGTTGTGTAAGTACTTGGCAAGTAATCAAGGGAAAATTGCTGGAGGGGGTGACAGGGGGAAGATTTAGACAAAACCAGGTGATACCCAATTAGGCAAATTAACGGGTAGAAGAACTGCTAATGAGAAAGTTCCAAGAGATCAGAGAGAGCCCAGAGGACCTGGTTTATGTTCTTAACCCACAGTGGTGTTTCCCCTTTAGCCTGCAGTGACACTGGGACTGTCCTTGCTGCCTCCCTGCCCCACAGCCACCCCTGACACCCCTCACTCCCTTTGGAATTTGCTGTTTTCTTCGCATGGGCAACATTTTCTCTGTTACCTTGGCAGAATTGTGTGAATTATCATTGCTGCGAATCAAAGGTGCTTCTCCACAGCAGGAACATTTTCCTTCTGGTGCTGATCTGTGACCCTCTCTAGGCAAAAGGTAGGACATAGGAGAGGAAGGATTTTAGGGTTTGTGGTTTTCAGTAATAATTCACTGCTGGCCAGAGCAGAGTGCTAGGCTGGTGAGACCTCTGGCCTGACCCAGAACCATTTGGGTTCTGGACCCAAAGGACACTTGGGTCTGAGTTCTGGGTCCTACCTAAGGAAACAGGAATTTACAAGGATTTTTTTCAACTGTATGAGCACTGAGAAAAAACCACCTCACTTGCTCTCAGAGCTCACAAATTAACATGCATCAACCTTTTATTTTTTATATCAACCCCCCAACATTATTAAGAACTGATGGCACAACACAGCTCCATTTTATTCAATTATCTTACTTCACATGGTGACAACTATCACATCACATAACAGCCAGAAAAATAATAACAAAAAAAATTTAATTCTGTTCAATATTCCTGCACTTCTGGTTTTTATCACTGTATAGGAGCTTCACAATGAAGTCACAGCTATGCTCTGCCCTCAGTTCCCACATTCTGGTGAAAACAAAAGCTGTTTGTTTCAGTGTATCTACAACAATACTTCTCTTAGTTGTTCATAAGAGATTGATGCTCTTTTGATTACAGTGGTGGTATTTCCATATTGTAAACAATATTCTGTACTGTTACTAAAGTACTGTACATTTCTAGTTGCACAATTGTGTTATTGAGTGTAGATTCTCACTATCTCATGTATGGTGCTATTTTTTGTTGGTGGAAAAGAATCTTAGCAGTTGATTATTGCTTAATATTTTATTATAATACAGGGATATATTCTCCATGGCAATAATATCATTTAAGTTTTCTCATTACAGAGTGAAATGTATATATTTTTCCATTAGCTAATTTGCATATGTACTGTATCCATGGTAATTTTCTTCTTGGTGCTGGTTATAAATAGAAAAAGATAAAAAACAGTCAAACTGAATGGAACCAGTTGTAAATGAAAGCCAAAAAAAAAAAAAGAAAAAAAGAAAAAAGTATCATTCCATTTTGAACAAATTGAATATGTGGAATAATAAATTTATTTTTTCCATAACAACTTTAATAAGGTTTCTGAACTTGAAGCAAAAATACAAAGCAAACCCAAAGCATGGAAATGAAGAGAAAGGAGTGAAGCTGTAAGTGATACATTATGCATCTGTGTAATACTGGACTGAGACTGGGATTTGGATAAATCCAAGCCAACTGTTTAATTGCTGTGGTCGGTGGAAAAGCTCATTTGGCAGTAAAATTCTGGCACCTCAGAGTACTCAGTGTGCTAAAAACCAAGAAGTGATGGGTCTTGTCCTGGTCAGGTTGCAAAATAAAGCACGGGGATGTTAACACCTGAATGATGCCTTGCCAGGTCTGTGGTCAGTGACACAAGAGTAGAAAATTCCTGTGTGGGAAGAGCTTGCCAGGCTGTGTTTGGGATATCTGTGGGGAGGGGAGCTCCTGCCTGGGGAGAGGGATGTTCTGAGGGTGCTTTTGGGGAAGGTTGTTCTTGCTGTGCCTCAGCTCCACAGGCACCCCCTGACAATGAGCAGTGCTGAGCATGTGGAAATTTATACTGGAGCAAAACAATCCCATCCATTGGGAAGGTACTGCATAACCGAGCTGCACTCTCCCCTGGTGTGAAATAAACAGAATTACTTCAGTGCCACGTGTTTTGGATGTCTTTGTTGTGGGCACTGGCCAGAATGTTTGTACTGTTAGCTGCCCCCAGCAGGGTGAAGGTTGTTTCTGCAGTCAGATACACCTGTAGGATCCTCTCCCAGCCTGCCTTACAGAGATGCCATCATCTGTATCCCACTCCAGCTCAATTCTTGTTAAAAGGGCACTTGGAGGTGGCAGCAGCATCTTTCTAAAGCAGCCTTAAAACCCAGGAACATGGTGGAATGGTGGACTTGGCACTGCTGGGTTGGACTTGGTGATCTTGTTATAAAATCTATGATTTTATAACAAACCAAAGCAGAGTTGGTGTGAGAGCCCTCCTCCCACAATGATTTCCAGAAATGGAGTTTATGCTTTAATAGCAGAGCTCATTTCCTGATCTCACCCAGGGTTCATGGCACAGCACTGATGGGCTTCTGAGGCAGCCTTGGGAGATCAGCCCAGTGCCAGCCTGCACAGGACCCTTCACAGCAGCACTGCAGAGCCTCCATCCAAGTGTGCTGTGCATTAACACATCATCCTGTTTGTGCCTTGCCTGCAGTCAACATCTGATTGCAATTGTTGACCTGTTTGAACAATAAAACCTAGCTCTGAGCCTGGGGAAGCCAAAGGGCTTTGCATTAAGCTGGGCTATGGCAGTGGGTGGGAGGGGTGTAAGGAATGCTGTCATACATTTGGCTTGAAATGTTCCTGGTATGTGCCAATACCTCTGCTAGAAATCCAGCAGGATTATATACTTACTTTGCCTATTTTGCATGTAGCCATTTGCTGTTTCTCTCATTCCTAATCCCCATTTCTACCCAAGCCATTGCCCTTCCCTGTGAGCTCAGTTGTGTTTTTTTATCTAAGACACCTCAGCCAAGGTCACTAAAGGCAGTGGGGTCAGAGGGCTCTGGTGCTGTGGCACAGAAGGATCAGGAGGAAAGTAAAATCCCTCCTCCCCTCCTTGGAGGTAATTTCTGCCTCCCGCAACCCCACCTGCTCCCTTCACTCTCCTGGTGTCCATGGCAGCCTCAGCTGTCTCTTGCAGCAAGCTGGCAGCACCCTGCTTGCTCTGGAAGGAATTTGCCTTCCAAAATGTGGAGCACTTTATCCCCACATCAGCTCACTGAGTACCACTGCTGAGGGCTCTGCTCTGTGGTTGAGTGAAAACCAAATGTTCCTTTGTGCTTTCCCCACCACCACATGGAGCATCTCCATGGGGAAAGGGATGTTTTCTCCTTGCTGTAGGGTGTCAGTGCAAACACCAGTGTGCTGTGCAGCTCCAGGCAAAGAAGATCCATGCCAGATGTGCTCCCAGTCTATGCACTCACACTTCTGATGGTGTCAGGAAGAATGGGATGGGATGCTGCTCTCCATGTGGCCTGGAATGGAGGAAAACACTCATTTTTCACCAGGAGAGCACTGGCAGCTCCCCAGTCTGCAGGGTTGGCTCCACCACCCCACAAACCACCTGAAGGATCTCTGACAGCTCTCTGGAAGGTGACTGCACACTACAGCACCACTGGAGCCTTTCTGGAGACAGGGAGTGAAAGTATTTGGACTGCTGAAGGACTGGTGAAAAAGGGGAATCCTCTAACAGAGTTTTCATGTTGCACCAAGATCAGTGCAACCTGTCCAGCAAAACCAGACAAGCCATTCTTGGGTTGGACTTCATTAATTTTCTTAGAAAAGACATTATTTGAATGTTTTTCAGCTCCCATTTCTTTCCCCAGCTCTGCACTTTTCCCCTTGATTTTGTCTCTGATGACAAAAGGACCCAACCAGACTGCAGCTTTGTTTGGCACCAAACTTCCCTCCTGAGATGATCACACAAGAAGCCTTTTATCACTCTGGGGGCTCTGAGCCAGAGCTGCTCGTGGTGGAAGTGGCTGGGACTGTAACCCCAGGCTGTGGTGGGATGAGAGTCAAGCTCAGGCTGTCAGCAAGGGGACCTGCAGCAATTCCCTGCCAGGACTCATCTGAACTCCTGAGCCTGCTTCCTCCAGTGCTGCTCTCATTCAGAAAAAGGTATGAAATCCACATCTAGACTGAATTTAAAGAATAAAATAGAAATCCTGTCCAGAATCATGGTCTCACTCCTCAGAAAATCACTACAAATTGAACCTCCCCTGTTCCCCACTGCTCAATAACAACATTTGGTTTTCTCACAGAGCTGGTGCCTCCTGTGCTGTGCTGGCTTCAGCACTGTCAGCTCTGTTCCCTGCCCAGGTTTGTGTTGAGGAAGAAGGGCCCTGCTGGAATTCTGGAATTCTGCTCTCCTCAGGCATCATCACCCTGCAGCTGCTCTCGCTTGTGGCTTCTTCCCCCATCACATCACTGGCCAGCAATGCCTTGAGGAGGGGACAGTGACACTGAGCCCAAGAAATGCTGTCAGCCACATTTCCCAGAGGGTAAGGAAGATTCCATCTTTTTCTTTCTTGTTTTATTAATTTTTTTCCTAACCATGTTTTGCTAAAGAGAAATTTTAAAGGGGAAAAAGGAAAACTCACATTATTGTGTAAGCAGGATAGAAAAGAGCTTTCTGTAGGTACTCATGTGCCATTCTCCCTGCAACAACAACTCTGCCTGTGCTGTGGCTGCCTGAGTGTTCAGCAGGGTTGTTTTGCAGCAGCTGTGTGCACAGTACCTTCCATCACAAGCCCTGTTCCCTGGCTGTCCCCACGGCTCAGTTTATTTGTGTGCAAGGCAGCTGAGAGGTTATCGAGCTTCCCATCAGCTGTACAAACTCACAGCAGCCCCAGCTCTGTGGGTGTCCCTTTCTGAGAGCTGCACTTGGGGGTAATCAGCTCTGGGGCAGCTCCTAGCAAAGATCTGCTCCTTCTGCAGGGGAGTTGCTGCCTGTGCTTGTGCCACAAACTATGGGGGATCTGTAGCCATATGTGTAAGAAAGAAAAAGCTTATTTGTTTGTTTTCAGCCTCCCCATAGGATGGTTCTAAAAGCAGAAGTGTCCTTCACTATGGGGAAAAAAAAGATAAAATTGACAAAAACACCCTCATATTTGTCAAAATTTTTGTAGATGTTTTTCAGGGTATCACTAAATCCTGCCAGGCACCTCCCTTTCCTCTCCTGCCTTCCCCAAATGCTTCCATTTTTGGCTAAAAAATCCCAAGTTTGGGATTTTTGGACCAACAATGTCAGCCAAAACCCAGGCTCTCTTCTCTAATTTTTCCACTTAATTTTTCAACTATCTTCTGGCAAAGCAGAAGCACTGTTTTGATGGAAAGTTTTTCAACCAGCTCTGCTCATTAATTTCTGCCAGCAGTCACAGAACAGTGCATCTTGCAGGAGAGAGTGTCTGAAGGGCCCAGTGTGAGGCAGGAATGAGTAACACTCCTCTCCCAGCTCTGTGCCCCAGCCAGCTCCCTGCTCCTAATGAGAGACATCTTTCTAGAGAGGCTTCCAGCCTAAATCTCTCTTGGCAAGTCAGCTCAGTAACTCAGGTACTGTGCCAGGTTAGAGGAAGATGTGGGTGGGCACAGAAGGATCTGCTCTGAGCAAAGGAGCCTGGGACTCTGAGGAGCCACATTGTCCATCCCTTATCTGCTTGGACTCATTTTGGACTCCTGCAGGCAAGCAGCAGTTGGCAGGGAAGGCTGGGGAGGTGGGGCTGGTCCAGCTGCCTTTCAAGGCTGGTTTCAGTGTGCTGCAATGGTGATGTTCAATAGCCAGCAGCTGAGCCAGGCACAGCCATGAGCTGTGTCCATGGAGCCCTGAGATCTGCAGGGACAAGATCCTGAAGTGGCTGAAAGGACACCAGCACATCCCTGCTGTGTGTCTGTTACCCATCTGTCCATGAGGAAGGGATTTTTTGCACTGAGCTCAAGGGAAGCCCAGCTCCTCTCACTTTTGGGTTCCTGTGATGACAGGAGCCTGGGAGGCAAAGAAGGAAGATGTTCTTACAGAGTAGCCAAATTTTTCAGTGCTTGGCCTCAGCAGCCAAAGGATCATCTGCCCATTGGCTGCATGGACAATCTCCTCAGGGAAAAGCCATCCATCCACAGTCCCTGACATTTGCAAAGTGCTCTGAGATCTTTCAGTGAAAGATCTTTTAGATGTGCAAAAGTTTACAGCCTTTCTCTGACCATGACTGATTTTAGGGGGTTAACTTAGGAACAGGAAATACAGTGACTAAAGGAAAGCCATTAATATTAAATTCTACCCTTTGCCAGATTGTCTTGTGTTATCTTTGCTCTTTCATGAAATATTTTCCAGTTTTCCTCGCAGGGCATTCCTTACAGGGGCAGCAGCTAAGGAGCTGTAACTTGGCACATCTCCACCTGCTTTTCTGTAGCAGTGCACATTTGTGCTCTGGGATTTGAAGAATTTCCTTAGCCTCTAGAATTGATATGCAAACAGTCAGCTGTACAGACATCAATCTGTCCAGTAGACATGCCTTGTGACCTAAGGAATAATACAGGTGGTCAGCATCATGCTGGTGACTCCTGAATTTCTGGAGCAAGCAGAATCATTTTCCTACGTCAAGAAGACGGGAGGTCCTGTGTACACCCTCGAGTCATCTGCTGTGCTTGACTGATCACAAAACACCCACCAAGATTTCCCTAACAAAGCCCTTCATTTCTGCCAAGGAAAGCAAAGATTTTCAGGAAATGAGAGATGTGACCTTGCCACCTCCCAAACAGCTCGGGGGTCTCAAGATGCTCATCTCAGCAGAGGGATGCTCGTGCCAGAGCAAATGTGGAGCCCTGTGTGGTCAGTGCACAGCTCTCCCAGCATCCCTCCCTCCATCAGCTCTGTTGTGGTAAAAACAGAAGTGGTCAAACTTGGTCTTCTCCTGCCTGTTTGCTGTGAGGCTGTAAGTCCCACTGTGTCCAGGTGCTGCTGTGTGAGCAGGTGTGGAATGAGGGATGTTAAGACTGGGGGAGATGAGTGTTGATAGTTGCATCACCCAGCTCAAACCACTTCCCCCACTCGTGATTTCACCACAGCCAAAAGCTGTGCTTGAGCTGCTGGGCACCCTGTGGGCACCTAAATCCTGAGGGGAAATTTTAAGAGAGAAAGAAATGGCTCCAGAGAGCCCCATAACTCTAAGCAAGTTGTTCATTAGGACAGTCACCATTTCTGTTAAAAATAAGTCCTTCATTTCCCATTGATACTTCTCAGGCTGCAAGGAGAGCCATTCTCCTGCTGCTGGAGGCTCTAGCTGCAGACACAGCCTTGGAAGGGAAGCTGCTCTCATGGCTACAGCAGAGGAATGGGAAGCACGAGATCTGGCATGAAGTGCTGCTCCCATTGAAGCCAGTGGGATGTTTGCCATTGGCTTCAGGGGAAGCCAAGATTTCAGTCTGCAGCCAGATTTGCTGGTGTGCTGTTCTATCCTGAGAGCAGGAGCAGAGAGGGTTCTTGGTTTCCTGATAAAGCCCTTGCTGCTTCAGCTCCCCTGCTGCCTTCTCACCTCACACTGGCCCCTCCCTGCTTTCAAACCTTAGGCCTCTTTCAAAGCCTTGATGGAGAGAATTGTGCATGGTTTGTGCCTGTGGTTTGTCCCATGGTTGGAGCTCTTGGACATCCTCTCCACTGGAAATTGTGGACAGTCCTGGAGAGGGGCATAAGGCAATTAAAACAACAGGACAGGATGGGATAAGAGACTTAGATGAAGTAAAACATATAGGATTTGCTGCGTGTAAATAACTGTGTCTTCTTCTCCAGGCAGCAACTTGGATCAGCTCTAGAATTAACTCTGAGTGTTTCAAGAGAGCCTGCAGACATTGTAGAGGTGGTCCAAGGTGGGCTTCCCTGCTTCACACCTTCACACCAACATGTTGGGAAGCTTGATAGTTTAATCAGCATTTTTCCTCATCTCCCTCTTTCAGGATTAGGTGGGAGCTGAAATGAGTGAGTGATGAGCTGTGGTGCAGGTATTCATGAGCCTGTTAGTGCACCTTTCCCAAATTACACTGATTCCCCTGCCAGCCCAAAGGCTGCTGTGCTGCTGTAGTGGCTTAGGTGTTAATCAGTGCATTATCCAGAGCTCCACAATGTTTGCACACCCAGCACCCATGGGTTGGTGCCCTCCTCTCAAAAGCAGCTGGAGGAAGTGATCACAGAGTCAATCAAGATTCTACCAAGCAGCCCCAATTTGGCCTGTAGAGGTCCAAGCTGTTTTTATTTGAGTGGACACATGGTGGAGCCTCTGCATGCCAAGGAAAAGAAACATTGCAAATAATTCTTGCTCTTCATTTTTATTTCTCCCCGTTTAGGACGGCTCTCTCTGCTCTTCGCGTGGGATTGGTCTCTGCTGCCCCTTTCAGGGAACATCTGTAAGCACATCACATCTGTAAAAAAAGGCAGGAAAGGTTGATCTGCTGGACCAAGAAGTTGTCCTGAATTTCCTCACCTCTCCAAATGCCTCATGTTTGCCAACTTCTGCTCCTGGCCAGCCACAGTTTGTGTTCTCTGGCCACCTGGGACCTGATCTCCTTCCTCTGACACTTCCACAGAGCAGCCCCTGGGAGAGACTTTCTGGTGAGTTGAAACCATGGTGATGTATTTTATCTCCACAAACAAGTTGTTGCAAATGTAGGTGTTTAAAGCTGAGATAATGATTATATAGAGATCCATAGCTAAGAGTTTTACTGTGATTTTCTCCAGAAAGTTAAATCAAAGCTACCCAGAAGTTGAGCTCTGGTGCAGGAGCGCACCCCAGTGTTACCTCTTTAGGCACAAAGATTTTTACAGGCAAAAATACTCTTTGTTCTGATGATAAATGGGGAAGAACAGGGCAGAAAGCAAAGAAAAACCCAAACAATGCCATATTCTCTGCTGACTGCTGGGCTTAGCTCTGCAGCACAATTTCCCATCCCTTCCACATCATTCTGAGATTCCTCCCCAAAAGGGTCTTATCAGTAGATAAGTGGCTGCCTCTGAGCCAACTCTTTTCTTCTGGTTCAGTGGCTGGCACGATGTTTGCATGAACTCTAAACCATCAACTTGTTCTCTCTGATTTTCTTTGCTGATATGATCCCCACCAGCTCTCACATTTCCTAGGGCAAGCACAATCAAGCACAATCACACAAAACAAATCAGAATAAACAGAATTAGTGCTCATTCTTTCTTAACAACATGCCTGTGGGGGTTTTTGTCTCCCTTAGCAAATTCAATCCAGCTCCTTTCTCTCAAGTTAATTCACTGTAGCTGCTTCCACAGGCTCTGGGTTACAGGTAACAATGAGAGGAGAGGATTGTGCTTTGCTTTGAGCAAGAGCTCAGCATTTGTATGTTTTGCATTTTAAGGAATGGAGTGAGGTGGGGGTTGCTTGATCCACTTCCCACTGATTCTCTGTGGTATTCCCTCTGCTGCTGGTGATATCCAACCTGGGAACACAAAAGATGGCACTTTGCACCTTTCATCTGCTCATGTGTCCCTTTAATTCTTCTAATGGTTCTTCTTCTTCTTTTTTTGTCTCATATACAGGCTCTGATTTTAGCACTCCAAGCACAGGGCCTGGGATGGCTTTCCCAGGATCCTGGCAGATTTAAAGGCCAATATTGCTCCCATGCACCCACACTGAGGGTGTCCTTGTGGGTGTGACCCTGGAGCCAGCTTCTCATGCAGGACACCAGGGTGAAACTCCCTTCTGGCACCCAGGCCTTGCACCTACAAAGTCTGTGTGGCTGGTGTCTTTGAACATTCCCTGGGACTGTTTCCTGAAGACAGAGCAGCATCTGGCCCTTGGCTTTTAGGAGAGTTTCCCAACATCAACCTCAAATCAAATGGAAACACTTTCCTCCCGCTTCAGACCAGGACAATGACTGAGGGTGAGGTTTTAAGGCTAATGAAGCTTTTGGTGTGTTTTTTTTCCTCCTGTCAGCTGAGGAGGTCCCTGGCACTATGATAAAAGCCCCCAGTGCCCACTGGGGCTCCTCTCCTTGTGGTGAACGTGCTCCTGAGAGACACAAAGGTTTCCCCAGAAGCACGTTCCCATTCCATGGCTCCAATTAGAGAAGATTTTCTGTGTTTGTTGCTAACAATGTTCTTCCTTGCCTTTGGCTCAGCAGGAACCTGATTAGTGACTTCCCAGGGTCCTTGAAACCCAAGGGAATTAATTTGCCTTTAATTTTGTCCAAGCTGATACTTAGGGGAGCAGCTGGGAACATTGTAAAGCAGCTCCTGGCAGTGAAGAGTCCCAGCACAGCATTCCCCAGAGCCTGGTAGTGATGCTCAGGCTGCCCACCTGAAGCCAGCCCGTGCAGGGAGCTGCAGCATTAACCAGGGAAAGACATGGCCCTGCTCCTCCTCCTTTTCCTTACAACAGCTGGGTTTGGCCAGCTGGGCTTTGGTGGTGCCTGGTGACCACACTGTGTTTGTGATACTTTGCTGCTGTTCACAGCTTGTTCCAGTGTTTATTGACAGCCAGACACATCCTTCATTCTCTTGGTGGGTGCTCATCCCAGCTTCCCAGGATCTGGGCTGTCCTGACATGCCAGCATGTTGTGCAGGATTGGGTGAAGCAGTGCATTGCCCTGTAACTCAGGGAACCACTGTGCCATAGGAACCACAATAGCACTGCTTGCCTGGAGACTTGTCAAAAAGCACTTTGAGCTCCTTGGAAGGACCAGGGTAGGTGCAACCCTGTTCTGTTACTCTGGGGTTAAAGGATGTCTGAGATGATGGTTTCAAGTGAAAACAGCAGCCAGCAGAGAAGCTCACACATCCCTAGAGATGTTCACTTCATGGTTTGGGGCATTTTTGGGGGTACTTCACTTCCCAGGAACTGGAAAGGCTGAGCCAGCTTGGGGCTGGGACCCCTCTGCAGGGATTCCATCAGGGCCATGCTCAGCCTTAGCTTTTGCTGTAACAATTACAAGAGATAAAATATCAGTTTTCTCCATTTGCCTCCCCACAAGTTGGTTTAAAGGGAATGAAGGCAGATCCTGCTAGAGCTTAGTGCATTACAAGCCAACTCAAATGACTCCCCACTGTCTTTTCATCTCCATGAGACTTTTAATGCCCTAAGTCTTTGCATGTCCTGGCACACAGCCCAATTGAAGCATGAGCTCCAACAGAAGTTTTACATTTAAAGCTGTTCTTTTGGCTTCAGAAATTTGCAGATTGAGGCTGAGAGAAGCAATTCAGCTGTTTACTTGCAGATCTCCACCAGCCCTGCTGTGCTCTTGCCCTCGCCTTGGTCAGAGTTGTGTTAACAGCATTTTCCAATTAAAGTAGCAGCCTCAGTTACAGAAAATGCTTTTCCTATCTGGGAATGTATCTGATTTTACTCTTTTTAAATTACTCACGGAGCACAGGGGTGTTTTGTTTCCCACCCCTTATTATAATTAATCCATCATCATTTCTGGTGACAAGGTTGGCTTTTGTTGGAATTTCTATTTCTTGCCATTTCCATCAGCTTGTGCCAATACCACTCAGACTCCACATTACTGATGATGGGGAGACTGATGTGAGCAGTCAGGAAAATATAGAGTGGACGAGCAATTCCTGAATTTCTGCTCACTCAGAGCAGGAAAAAATGACACCTATTCTGGAGATAGCCCTGCCAGAAAATCTTAGAGCCATACTGTGTAAATTGTAGCCACTTCCCTGTCTGAAATAGTCCTACTCTGAAAACTTGGCTTTCAAGACCTCCACAGCCAAGATCAAGGCTTCTTCCTGTTACCTGAAAATTCCAAGTCTCCAAGAGAATAAATGGAAGCAGCTGAAACCTTCATCTTTCTTCACAGGGATGAAGTAAGAGCTTCTTTTTTTCACTTCACCTCACTGAAAGGGACATGCTGGGACCCATCCTGCCTGTGTGCAACAAGCTCAGCAAGGCTTGTCCTGTGGGATGCAGTGGGATCTGACTCTGGGATTTTCACTCCAGCCAGTTTTCCATAGTGGACAACCTTGTGTCTGTCTTCTGGCTGAACATGAGCATGGCAGTGCTTGGGCTGGGCCTGCAGGACCTGGAGCAGGACCAGATGCGGTGACAAAATCCCAGGATTCAGTGCTGACATCCTGTCCAGGAGGCCACAAAGCCCCTCTGTCCAACAACATCCTTGTCCCAGAGTCTGAGCGGCTTCAGCTCGTGCCCACCACAGTGACCCTCAAACCTGGGAGCACCTGGGCTCTTCAGGACCCTTGCAAGGATGCTCCAACCTTCCCAGACAAGGAAGCAAAGCCTTCTGCTGCCCCCACGTGTTGCTTGCTCATTATTGTTGCCACACACTGGTAAAGACCTGGGAACACTATTGGGAAGCATGAAGAGGAGCCGGCACAGCCATGCAGCTCTGGAGGTCAAGGATCTTGCTTTGGAAGAATCTTCTGTTCCTTCTGTTCCTCTCTCAAGCTCAGGATGTTCCTTATACTCAAAAACCTTCAAAATCAGATTGGGCCTGTTTGGAAGTGAGGTGTTCTGGAGGCAGCAAAGCACAGAGGTGTCCTGGTCCCAGGCAGGACCTGTGTGAGCCCTGGGAGCCGGCCAGCGATGCTGAGCGATATCGGATACGGCACAGAGCATTCAGGAGCCCTGGCTCAGGCCACGAGGGCACACAGTGACAGACAGCTCTTGGCAGGCCCAGCTCACATGAGAAGGTCATTGGAAAGACAAGTGATGCTTTTATCAGCTGCCTCTCCCCAGAATCAGCACCAGCTTGAGCAAGGGCTCCCTCTGTGCTCCTGTAGTGTCCCGTGCTCCGTGTAGTGCCAAGGACAAAAGCTTCCTCACAAATACATTGAAGCTGCTTTTCCCAACCAGCATCCCAGCCCCCAGTTCCCATCCCTCCTGGCCCTGTCAGGTTCAAGGTTTGAATAGCACCCCTTGGAAAGGTGATTTTCTCTCTGGATCAGTGGCACCTCTCAAGCTGAAGGGAGAGCAGGCTGGAGTTGCTGGCTCTCTGCTGCTTCCCAGCAGTTACAATTTGGAATCTTGTGGTTTTGTCCTTTGTTGGGGTAGCACATGCTGACTATTCTGGAGAGCATCAATCCCAAAAGCTGCCTGAAGCCTGGGCTGACAGGTTGGTAGTAGCAGCCAAGCTCTCTCATGGAACCAGTTTGTGGCTGGGGGAGGTCCCAGAGCACTGTTCCCGACCATCCCCAGCACAGCTCCTTGGAGTGGTAGGGCTGGCTCTTTGCCATCCTTTCACCAAGAACATTTTGGCATGGCACCATGAACAGATGGGCCATGGAGCAATTCCTCAGCTCAGATTGTCCACAGGCTGCCCTGGACACTGCCTGGAGCTCTCTGAGAACATCTGAAGGGAATAGCACTCGCTGGCAGGGCTTACGTGCTCCAGCAATTGGGGATTGCAAACACATGCTTCAGCTATGCAAGAAATCTTTGACTTGTTCTGAATGCAATTCTGCCTGGGTTTCTTCCCAGGAACATTCCTGTTCTTCACAATTTACCAGTTGCAGGAAGGGAAAAGGGGAGGGGGGATTTTAGGAGTAAGAGAGAGGAAAGGGAGCAAATCTCATGGTGCTTTCCCTCGCCAAATTTCTCCAGAAGGACAGGGTGTGGAGCATGGACTCTAGAGTCTGGGACAATCCCAAGGAAATATGAATTACAAAATTAAAACCACTTTTAATTAGTAATTTTTTTTTATAGAAAGAAAAAGTCTGTTTTTCTGAAGTAATTCAGTGCCTGCTATCACACACACCAGGCAGCCCCTGCCAAAGGGAGCTGTGTGATAGAAGGCAAGCCCAGAACGAGGGCTCTGAGCAGAGACACCTTATCTCCTCCAGGAGACAGCAGTGCCATTCAGATCTGCATTCTGCTTCCCCAGATAAAAGCCCCACTCCTGAGTCACTGCATACGTGAGAGAGTTGCAAATGTAGTCCCCTAGGTGGGAGTAATTTGGTGTCTGAGATGAATGATGAAGCTGGGCCTTTATTGTCACACCTGCTCTGTTCCAGACAGGAGAGGAAGCGTGAGAAGATGGAAGAAGGAGCTGTTTCTGCCCTGGGAGAAGCCAGAGGTGCAGGTACCCAGCTCCTCACCCCCTGTCAGGTGACACAGCCCTCTGCTCATGGAGGGACACCATGGGTGGCTGTCACCTGCTGGGTACCCAGCTCCTCACCCCCTGTCAGGTGACACAGCCCTCTGCTCATGGAGGGACACCATGGGTGGCTGTCACCTGCCCCAGGGGCTGGGCTCACACTGCAGAGGCTGGGGCAGGGCTGTACCCGGGCTGGCCCTGAGCAGGGATGTCCCTGCAGGGAAGGGGCTCTGTGCTCCTTTCCTGATGTCACCACCTGAGCCATCAGCTCCTTCCTGCAGCCCCAGACCCTCCCAGGGCAGACAATTACAGGGCTTGTGCTCCATGGCAGAGTCTGGCACCTGCTCAGCTGCACAAGCTCCAAGGGCCTAGAAAGAGACAGGGTGTAACCTGATGCTACCAAACATGCACTCTGAGTAACCTCCACAGCTCAATTAACTCTATTAAGTATTTACCTATAATTAATTTAATTTGGTTGAGGTTTTCCCCCCTGTGTTGGGTGCTTACTGTATGAACCTCTTAAAATTATGGCTGTGTGTATAATTGAATCAGATGTACATGCAGTACCCACAGAAGCTGAGTCACTCCAGGTACCAGGGGAGAGGTTTATTTTGTTGTATTTGGCTTGTGCTTCTGACTTAACACGGGGGTAACTCCACTAAAATTGGTTGTGCTGCATTAGTCCAAAGCCAGAGCAGAGCCCAGCTCTTATTTATTATTTGCAGGAGAGACATCATAATTTCTATAATGCCATGTCCAGAGTATGGGTGGGGTTTGCTCCAGCTGCTTTGTCAGTCTCCCACTACGGAGCAATGAAATGAAGGTAAAAAGGAATATTCATCTTTTTTTATGTGTATAACTCAGAAATATCAGCAGATTCCTGCTGCCTCACAGTGCTGTGTAGGAGCCTTTCCCAGATATCTGCTAAACTAAGCAGGAGTGATTGGTTGATACTAAGGAGATGCTCAAGAAGTTTTTCCTGAAGTTACTCTTTACTCAAGGGTGGAGAGCAGCCTGTCACTGAGTCAGAGGTTTCATTGCACAGCTTAGAATGCAGCTGAAAGAGAAGCACAGAACAACACAGGGAATGTGTGTCTGACACTTCTCACACTTCTGAAATGAGCCTGAGGAAAGAGGGACAAATCCCAAGTGATGAGGAAACCTGCAGTTCTGGGTCTGAGCAAGAGCTCCCAGGAATCACAGGGACACAGGAGAGGAGCCCCGTTCTAGATTATTTGGAGAGCCAAGACCTTCATGAAGGTTTTGATTCTTTATCACAGGGATTAACTCTGGGCAGCGGCTGGCGTGGATGTGAATTCCAGCTGGTGCCCAGCACCATGGACACACTGCTCTTTGCACTGAGTGCAAATGAGCAGACAGCTCTGTCACCCTGTGCACTGATCTCAGTCAGGGCAGGAGGATTCTTCCTGAAGTTCAGGGCACCTTCAGAATGACCCTTGTGCTGGTTGAGTGCAGATAATGACTGAACCATTGAGCTCTCAGACAGACTCTGCTTGTTTGGGGCTGTGCAGCTCTCACAATCTGTCTGCTAACGACAAAAATATTCCAATTATTTGCAATGATGACATCACCCATGCAATTGACCCAGATCCAATATCAGCACTCCCACAAAACAGTTATTTCTTGTTAGACACTATCGAGGACAGTAATCCAGCCCAGACTGAGCCCTGTCAGCAAAGCCTGGTTGATTCCCCCACATTTCCAGCATTTCCTCAGCAGTTCATTTTCCAGGTTTGACAGGTTACCCTGAGTAACCTGGATCTGTTTGGTAAAAGGTGATTATTTCTTGTAACTTTTGAACCTCAGTAGTCGCAGAGAGGCTCCAAGTGGCTCAGGGAAGGCATTTGGCACCTTTCATCTACTCCCTGTGCTTGTAAAGCCCTCACCAGCACACTAAATCATCATCTGTTGGGCCAGCAAGCTGCCTGAGCCCAAAGTCATCTGCTCCTGGCAGGATCAGGCCCAGGGATGGAGGGAAGGAGATCCTGCTGGGAGATGGGGAGCTGGCTCAGCCAGTCCTGCCTGGCCACTGTCCCAGCACCCTTCCATCCCTGCCAAAACCCCTCAGCCCCACCAAGGTGTGTGGGCAGGTAAGAGCTGAGAAGAACAGCTGCTGCTTAAAGAGATTCTTGATGCTTGAGGAGCCTTCTTTCCCCTCAGTGTGTCACATTTACCAGCTGATGTTGTGTCTAATCCAGGGGTAGCCAGAGCTGGACAGGGAATGCCTTCCCCTCCTGCCTGCAGCACTGGGGCTGCACAGGGGAAGGCAAAGGGATGGCAACGACTGCACTCTGCTTTCATTTCACTTAAAAGCAGGTTTAATTTCTTAATTTCATTTAAAAGCAGGTTTGTCCATCACCTGTAGGGCACAGAGCAGCCAGACCCCGGGCTGAGCCAAACCCCAGGCTGTTCCTGCAGGAGAGCTTCACCCCGTGGGCCCCTGGGGGACTGCCTGCTTAATTCTGACAGCTGACAAGGAGAGCATCATTCCTGCTGTCCCTGCACCCAGAAAAGCTTCCAATGTGGAACTTGCCAGCAGCGTGTCCTGAGCTTGTTTTATAAACATCAGCCATGAGTCAGGGTGGGACAAGGCAAATACAGAGTGTGGAGCACAGCTGGTCAGCTCTGCAGGCGCCCACAGGGCAGAAATAGGGACACATTGTAAAACTGACATATTGTAATATTGGCTAATTGTAATATGGACACATTGTAATATGGACACACTGTAATAATGTAGTAACTGAGATGTTACTGTAGCACAGGGCTCTGCAGGGTGTGACACGACCCCTTGTACCCATGTGTGATGTGTCCTGGGGCAGAGGCTCCTCACCCATGGCTGTACAGGTGTGTGACATGACCTGTGGTTCAGGTGTGTGACATCACCCATCATTCAGGTGTGTGGCCTGACCCATTGTACCCGTGTGTGACGTGTCCTGGGGCAGTGGCATCTCACCCGGGGCTATGCAGGTGTGTGAGGTGTCCCTCGGTTCAGGTGTCCCTCTGTTCAGCTGTGTCCCTCTGTTCGGGTGTGTGTCCCGCTCCCCCCGTGCGCTCCGGGCTCGGTCCCGGCTCGGCCGGAACGGGGT